AACCTCCAACTCCTAGGCTCAAGTGAGTCTCCTGCCTCCGCCTCCCAAGCAGCTGGGACTATAGGCACCCGCCACAATGTCCAGCTATTTTTTGGTTACAGCCGTTATTGTTGTTTGGCGGGCCTGGGCTGGATTCGAACCTACCAGCTCAGGTGCATGTGGCTGGCGCCTTAGCCGCTTGAGCCGAGGTGACCTCCAGATTTTTAATATGCATGAATGGCAATGCAGATGTGTCTCTTTGCTAGGTCTGGCTACAGAGAAGGCCTAGAAGTAGTGACAGCCTGGTAGCAATGAGCACACCCAGAGACAGACCTTTGTTTCTAAATATTCTAATAAAAAGAACCAATACTCCTTGGAGAAATGACCAATTCCAGGGCCTGACAGGAAAATCAGTAGAGGCTGGTAAGGAAGGAAGCGCTCTGAGGATGCCAAGTACATGTCAAAAGGACACAGGGGCCAATGTGAAAGGGCTTCTACTTGCCCAAACTGAATAACCAAAACAAAGAACGAGGATTACAATCCACTCAGTGAAATAAGAATCCATGAGTCTACATCACAGAGTGGCAAATTTATGATCAAATAAAACAGTAGGAAAAACTGTTCCTACTATAGGAAGCCAACTAAATAAATGCAGAAGGAATGATAAGACTAAAAATCACCATTTAGGGTTAGGCACAGTGGCTCATGCCTATGATCCCAGAACACTGGGAGGCCAAGGCCAGGATTTTTTGAGCTTAGGAGTTTGATACTAGCCTGAGCCAGAACAAGACCCTCCCATCTCTACTAAAAATAAAAAAACTAAAGGAAGAGGAGCTCCTGAGCCCAAGAGTTGGAGGTTGTTGTGACCTGTGACACCACAGCACTCTTCCCAGGGTAACAGCTTGAGACTCTGTCTCAAAAATAAATAAATAAATAAAATAATAATAATAAAACTCACCATTTTGTAACCATCACTGCCAAACCTGATACAGGCAAAAGGAATCAATGGATGCTAAAACACTAGAATTTTGAGAAGTTACAAAATGGCCACATAGTCTGGACTATCTCCCTACAAGGTACTTAATGATTACAAAAGGAAAAACAGTAACTTTATAGTGGAGCACCCTTGGCAAATACCAAAGGATCAAGGTCATTGTCACCAGGGACTTCAAAAACCTACACCTTATACTCCTAATGTGATGTACGGAGGACAGAGGGTCACATTAGGGTCTTCGACCCAAAACACATAACTGGAACCTAAGCACAGGAAAACATCAGAAAAACCCACACTGAGGACCACTGGATAAAATGCCTAGCCTGTGCTCTTCACAAAGTTCACAGTCTTAAAGGGCAAAGAAAAACTGAGAAGCTGTTGAAGATCAAAGTAGACCTAAGAGACCTCTACCAGAAGGTTTTCTGCTGTTGTGAAGGACACCAGACAGACAACTGGCACAGCATTAATAGAAAGGCCTACAGACTGGGCAACAGTATTGCATCAATGTTCACTTCCTGCATCACTGTGGCAGAAGACGATGACCACCTCTTTGGCATTACACACTGAAATATGTGCAGATAAGGTTTGTCATATCTGCACCTTATGCTCAAAGAATTCAGGAAAAACATATATACGAAAAAGGTGGGCAGTGTCTGTGCCTCAGTGGGTAAGGGCACCAGCTCCATATACCAAGGATGGCGGAGGCCACCTAAAACAGCAGTGACAACTGCAGCAAAAATAGCTGGGCGTGGCTCGGTGCCTATAGCTCAACCGGCTAAGGCGCCAGCCACGTACACCTAAGGTGGCGGGTTCGAATCCCCAGCCCGGACCCGCCAAACAACAAT